CCTTCTGCCAGTCTATGAAGCAAACACACAGTTCTTCATCTATCTCCAAAGTTCCTTCTGCTATAATTCTCATCATCCCTATTGCATCCCTGGTTCCTTTTCCTCTTCTAAATCCAAACTGATCTTCTCCAAGTATATCCTCTATTTTCCTTTCAATTCTTCTCTTAAGTGTCTTTGTTATTATCTTTGCTGTATGTGCAATAAGGCTGATTGTGCGATGGTCGCTGCATTTTGTAGCTTTTGTCTTTTTCTTTAAAGCAATCATTGTAACTTCTGTAAACCCTCCACTAAGCGAGTAAGAAAAAATTGGGTCTAACTTTGCAGTTCCTGACGAAAAACTTATTCGACGCTCTGAACATTAAATACACTTTGTTGTGGCACCAAGTAGTTTAGTTGTGACAGAAAGATACCTACGTCAGGACTTTTGCAATATTATAATCCTGTTGTGCGCATGTGCGACGGGAGTAAATTTTACGAGCATTCTGTGTATATAGCGTTAGCTTTGCCGTGTACAAAATGTGCAGTAAAGATTAGTTTAGTTCTTGTTTTAGTTATGTGTTTTGAACCGAGGTGAATGTTCATACTGTTGTCTTCTCTGTTATGACGTTTCATATTAAAGGCTAGATATACAAGCAGCAAGTTCTTCTGAAAAGCAAGTATAAGCCTACAAGACCACACGATGTCACAACCCAGAGGTCTGCCCTCCGAATAAACACCTGTAAATTAATTGGGTGGAAGTGTGACATAGTACTTGAATTATAAACTTAATTAAGAAAATAACAAATATGATTAGGGAAGACTGTTTCTGTTGTTTAGATTTCTAAGAGAACAGAAGAAGTAAGTTGTGTTTTAATGGTGTTCCCGTCCTGTCTGTGTAGTAGTGTCTAATTATAGAGGTTATTATCTGGCTCAACGTGCAGACGCCTCTACAGCCCTTTGTTGGGCCCTGGCCTCTTCATCAATTTCGTCGCAGTCGGTAGGCCTGCTTGGACGAATGATCAGCCCGTAGCAAGACCGCTACCTACACAGGACAACACAAATATAGAATAAACGCATACACAGATATCCATACTTTGCGTGGGATTCGAACCCACGATCCTAGCGTTCTAGCGAGTGAAGGTAGTTCATACCTTAGCGCGGCCACCGTGATCGGCTACATTTGTATTACTGATACTTGTTTGCAATTGTGACTGTTTTAATATATTCAAATTTATGAGTAACACATTTCGTTTTATTTCTTCATAGAGAGAGAGTGAAGATCCAGAGAGGGCACCATCGATAGTGAAGCTCCATGACTTTCACAGCTGTGGTATCGTGCCTGTTGCAAAGATGGCTCCCTAACCTGTCTAATTCCTACGGAATTTTCAACTAATCGAACTGAAGCTTCCAATAATATTGACAATGTGACACATGTGAAGTGATAAGGAAAATATGGAGGTAGTTTAGGATGTGTGAACATTCACTCAGAGGCTACTGTGTAGCCTACCGACCTTGCATTCCAGTTGCTTACGGCTCTAAGCAGATCTCAATAAACGTTCGTATGTGAAATATATGCGGTATAGTTTCCCGTGTTCCTATTGCAGGACAGTATTCCTTTTAGTTTAGCGATATGGAGAAATATAACTAGTCAACCAAACAACTCTTATCACTCACTCATGGAGTTGAGCCCTTCTTGAGGAGCTACCAATTGTGCAGCTTCTCAAGAAATTTCCGGCATTTTGTGGAACCAGAAGGTTCATTATCATGTTTATAAGAGGCCTCCACTGGTCCATATCGTGAGCCAGATCAATCCAATCCATCCCATCCTATCTCTATCCATTATAGTATTGTCCAGCCACCTACGTCTCGGTCTTCCCAGTGATCTCTTTCCTACTTTAGCTTGTGTTTGAGATCAAGCTGGATGTATTTCTATCATGTATTAAACGCACTTTGCAAATAAAATATGTTGAATGAATGAATGTATAAGCGGTGGGCCTTCTCGGCCCTTGCACCGCGACCTACAGTGGTCTATTGTGCTTCCCCTTTTGATTATCCCCTCAGCAATCCTGCTCTTCATTCGAAGCGCAGGATTTTGTAGGTAGGGACGTCGAAATAGTCACTTGGTTCCATAAAGTATTGACCCAAGTGACGTAATCTTAAATAAGCTAAGGCCTCACATTCGCACAGGATGTGTGTGGCTGTTTCATTTTCTTCTTGACACCTCTCACAAGTGGGACTATAACTTAGTCCCAATTTGAGAAGGTGTCCTTTAAGGTGACAGTAGTCCAACCACCCATTGTAGCTGGTTCCTGTTTAACTTCAACAGTTCCTTCGCTCTTTTAGCAGAACGTCCTCGTATGAGTCTCTTTGCTTGCCTGAGTCCAGTCAAGGATCCCCAGTATTTCTTGTGATTCATGTTAGTCCAGTCCCTGATTGCCTGTTTGGCGACTCCTAGAGAGATGCCACAGGCTGGTTCAGGTCCTATGAACAGATGTTCAGCTCCAATCTTACCTAACTTGCCTGCTGTTTCGTTTCCAGCAATACCCTCATGCCCCGGCACCCATATCAGTTGTACCCTGTTATGTTTAATAAAATATGTTACAAAATAAATTTTTAACATTGAAGACGTTATTATAAGAGGGTGCAGCTGTAAGTGACATTCCAGAGTAACATTTTACAGAAATTACCATGGTAACCGTATCAGCTTAGTGAATTGTTATAGCGGAAAGTAAATTCATGTAAATATAAAAAAGTTACTAGTATTATAGCACGTTTCTGTTACAAAGGCTAAAGAAGGGTTATTCCCACAGCGACCAGGAGACATGTAAACAAGTTTCCGCAACGATTCGTTAGAATTTCTGAAAAATGAATTTCCATTGATACCGGAGAATAAAACCCATGGAGGCGGTGTCAGCTATGCCGTCAGACTGACAGATATAGCCAGACGCAGAGTCAGTTCGAGCCAGTCCTGGTTCAGGGGCCTACAGACCAAGGTAGGGTGCAAATGGATGAAGCGGTAAGTGACAGTCAGCATAACACTTGAGCAACCTCTTACGTAACTGCTGATAACTCAATTCCTGTGGTGTATCTCACATTAAAAGTTACATGTATGTAAATGAAAGGATCAGTACATTATTTAAATAATTACCTAAAATCTATTGTACATATTGCGAGTGAAATACGTTAATAAATGCGAGCTTCTCTCGAAAATGCAAATCGTTTTGGTCCTTGTCCAGTGCCTTTTCAGTTTCTCCTCGATTCTGTGTCAGGTTTCTGTCTTCTGACTTTGGGAACCGCTGTAAATACCAGGGTAACCGTATCTGCTTACTGCATTGTCATAGCAGAAATGTGTGATCGGTGTTATGCGTTGGACTTGTAATTACCATGGTAAGCTTATCTGCTTGGTGAATTGTTATCACAGGGGTGCGTGTGCCGTGCTATGTGATTGGGGTTAGCTCCCTCTAACAGATCCGGCAGAGTAGGGGTATTTTCGGGAGCTAACCTCAGTCACTGATTAGGGTTAGCTCCTTCTAACAGACTCAACAGAGTAGGTGTATTTTCGGGAGCTAGCTTCAGTCAGTAATTGGGGTTAGCTCCCTCTAACATACCCAGCAGAGTAGGGGTATTTTCGGGAGCTAACCTCAGTCACTGATTGGGGTTAGCTCCTTCTAACAGACTCAACAGAGTAGGTGTATTTTCGGGAGCTAACCTCAGTCACTGATTAGGGTTAGCTCCTTCTAACAGATCCAACAGGGCAGATGTCTCCCACCCCTCACTTGAGGACTGAAATAGATCTAGTCTCTTAAACGTTGTGTTCTTTAGTGTCCTTTTGTATACCGGGTGATGGACAAAATCCGAAAACCCAATGACCCGAATTACATATACTGTGTAGTGTCGTCAGTACAAGAATCAAAATGAAGCAAGCGAGGCATAGAAAAATGGCAGATAATGTATTCGGACTTTATATCGCATGCATGTTCCAAATCGAAAAGCAGTTTTTCCTGTTGCTTAATCTTTCGTTTCTGGATATATTTGTCGAAAATTCGTCGCAATCACATTTAAAACACTGGACATTGTCCACTGCGTATGCTGCACACAAAAATGTTGAGAGTTTCGGAAGCTGAATCTGCTTCCGTCTTCAGGAAAGTGAGAGGAGCTAATGCGATTGATCCCTTGGAAGGAGACCGTCTGCATTTCTATCTACAAACTAGTTTTATTTGACTTTGAACCCAGTTTATTAAGTCCGTTATGAATCAAGTCCAAAGTAGACCCACTATACAAAGAACAAGATACTGATAGATTTGAGGTTATGTAGCAGCGCCGTTCCAGCTACAGAATGGGACGAGAGGCTGGCCATACATGGCGAGTAGGTTACAATCTGAACGAAGAGTTATGGCTGAATTTAGGATATTATTCGGAACAGAGAGTATAGGCGGTCACTGAACCAAGATTCGAACCGCCTTCTATCTGAATAGCAGTCTAGAGCATCTAGAGTGTCACAATTACACGAAACTGCTTGATCGAATTCAAGGAAAGCAAATCACATTTAGGAAGTTTCATAAAGCATTAAGCGGTTAGTTCCACAGAAGTTCATGGCTTTTGTCACGTTCCTTCCCACTGAAGGCAAAAGGCGAAGTGTACACATACTGGAAACAAACAACGTCCTCGTATACCGAAGTCAGAGGGCCCTGCCCGAGTTTCTATTTAAAGGTGTAGTAACCATGCCAAGAGTCCAGTTTCTTATTCACGCACGGTTGGGCTTGTCAGACACTCGAGTAGGCGTTTCATTTGACATAGTCATCGTGTATCACGACAAGCAAAACAAATGTATTAAAACATTTTATTGCTCGTAAATTGTATTACAGATCATGTATCTGATGTACACTTATCACACAGTCGAGAAATGTGACCCCCCCCCCACTGCCTGTAGTTGAGGCAAAAATCGTGTGTAAGTTCAAGTTGGAAACAATTAACTACTTGAAGAAGTTGAGGTTCTCACCGCGGTGGTTACGAACAGTTGATCTTTTGAAATATTACCCCTGTTGTCCGCTAAAAGTCAACCGACGTTTCGGAGGAACATGTTGCCACCAACTTCGGAGTCAAAGAAACAAATGTGGAGTAGTAACGAGCAGAGCTCTGAATGATACATTACGTCACGCTGCCTGTCTTACAGTGGTTCCTTTCTTGGCTTAATCTTCGACCCTGAAGATGGAGGCGACATATTCTTTCGAAATGTCTGCAGACTTTCAGCAGACTACAAGGAGCTATGTCCCAAAAAACAGAACTCAAAACAACCGCATGTTACCAGATACCTATACCACAACAATTCTGTAATATCTTCACATTTCAGGCTTTCTTGCACTCGTCATCAAAATGATCTTGATTTTCAAGCGTGCTGAAAGTATGCAATAAAATCAAAACGTCATAAAATAACACAGAGCTTAAAAATAAGAAATTTACTGAACTTCAAATTAAGGAGGGCCGGTCACGGTAGCCGCGCTGTCTAAGGCATGCACTGTCTTCGCTCGGTAGGAAGCCGAGATCGTGAGTTTGAATCTCACTCTCAAGGCATAGATGTTTGGTGTGTGTATGTGTTTATTCTGTGTTTGTGTTGTCCTGTGTTTAGGTAGAGGCCTTGCGACGAGCTGATCACTCTCCCAAGGAGTCCTACCGTCTGTAAAATGATCATGGAACTGGAAATATCTGAGGTCAAGGGGGCTGTAGAGCCAGTAAATACTATTAAGCAGAAGCAGGAGCAATATTTCTTGCCCCAAGTTCGTGAGCAGGCGCCCTAGGTTCTGATTGGCGAGGTCCGTCGTTTGGCCTGTGGGATTTTCGTGTCTTCCTCAATATTTAAATGAAATGCACCGGCACGAAATTCTGAGCCGTATCACCGCAACAGAACGCTACGTGTACTCGACACACAAAGACTTTGTCCCACATATCGCAAATTCACACAACACACACTTAATAGACATATACATTCTCAGGGTAAATTAATCTTTTATCTGATAACGGAAGCAGAGTCAGCTTCCGAAACGTTATATTTTTTTCAATAACGGCGCAGATGGAAAATGTCCAACATATATATATATATTGTGACATGCTGANTGAGCTATGGATGACGCCCCTCCCCCCCGCCAGGCGTGATGCGCCGAGCGATGCCGAAGCGAGCCGATGTTAGCCGAGTCCTAGCATCCTGGTCGCTAGGCAACGCGAGTCAACAGCGGTGACGTCACCAAGTAGTAACAGCGGTTACTTCCGCTAGCGTTACTAGCAACACAGCGCCAGGCAACAAGGGTGCCTATTACGTGGCCGTTTTCCGTATTGTCCGATCAAGGCTACATAAGGAGCAGCGAAGGCTATTCACAGTCAGTTAGTCCTGGAGCTACCTACGAGTCAGTTAGTCCTGGAGCTACCTACGAGTCAGTCCTCGAGCTACCTCCGAGTTAGTTCCGAGTTAGCCAGCAACTAGTCAGTTGTATTGCGGCATTTGGAGTGTACTAATTGTGATACTGCAGATAGCAGTAATCGTAAATCTGTAATTTGGGTGATTGTAAGTGCGAATGTGAAATAAAATTCGCTATATAAAATACGGCGTGAAGTTATTTGTCGCGTCATACGCCCAACACGCGACAATATATATGTAATATTGTATTTAAGCATCCTGTTGCATCAATATATTCTTCGCAAACTATATTATTTCCGTACATAATGCAACATAATTATTTCATCC